GTGTTTAAAATCTATAACATCTTATTTATGATATGTTTTTGTAGTATATTTTTGTCATGATATACAGTGAACTTTTAAACTTAAATGTCCTGAATTTCACCCCTTTGTTTCAGAATCAACATTTTCTCTGTGTAGGGAAAAAAACTCTCTATTTGCATGGCCCTTGTATTGGGCTCATGGTAAACAATTGTTAATGCTTTCACCCTTGGTGAACAATAGTATATGGTAAATAGTTTCAGAGGTCTGTTAGTTCATCACACTCTACAGGTTTTGGTTAAGCTTTCAACCAGTTGAGTTCCCGTCTCATTATTGTTGAAATGTTTAAAAGTCAAAGTCCTATCTGGCTATGTGTTTGACTTCTCTGTATGTGCATTCTTCTCAACCTCTATATACAAATAATCCTTGTTGACAGTTCAAACAGGCTTATTGTCTTGGAAAAGACTCACTTCCCCCATTCTCCATTTCTTAACTAGAATCCTTGATGGTTCAACCAAGACAAAATTAACTCTTAGCATTCGGCTATGCTGAGCTGTTTGCCATATAATATTATGTCTTGATAAAAGTCATATTTTTGAGACATGATTCAAAAGCCCACAACAGGGGGCATTGTTTAAATAAAGGACTTGTCAAAGACCCTGTACTGTTTTTTTTTCACATAACACTTTGTTTTTTTGTGAATGAGTAGCGGGACCATGTACCGCAGACTTATTCACGTGTGGGGGGGGCCCCCTTGTTAAAGGGGGCTTCCAGATTCCGATAAGCCCCCCGCCCGCACACCCCCACAACCACCGGCCAGGGTTGTGGGGGAGAGGCCCCTGTCCCCATAAACATGGGGACAAGGTGCTTTGTGGGGGAGCCCCCCTGCCCCAAAGCACCCCCCCATGTTGAGGGCATGTGGCCTGGAATGGTTCAGGAGGGGGGGGACGAGCGAGCTCCCCCCCCTTTTCTGACCTGCTGGGCTGCATGCTTGGATAAGGGTCTGGTATGGATATTGGGGTGTACTCCACACTGTTTTTTTAAAAAATTTCGGCGTGGAGTTCTCCCTTAATATCCATACCAGATCTGAAGGGCTTGGTATGGATGAGAGGGGGGGGACCCACGCTGTTTTTTTTTTTTCTATTGTGGACCTTTATTTTTACATTCAGCTGTCAAAATAAATATTATCTAGACTTTCGAAATAAGTAAAATCATTACAGAAATAATTATAAAGGATAAGAAACAAAAAAAGAATCACTAGAACTAGGGAAATCAAATTAGAATACATAAAGATATGCCTAGTGCTGTTTGTTAAACACAGTAGACGCAACCGAGTGCCGGCTGTCAGAGGACTCCACACTGAGATTTACTATTGAGCAGTAGCTAAAAAGCAAACGCCCACAGAGGACGGCTAAAATGTGTTCTGCACATGAGCATTTGTATCAGCCAAATAAACTGCCCGAGCATCTAGTTTTTCACTGTGTCGTTTTGCTTAAAAAAAAACATTTTTAACACATTTAAATTTTTTTTGGAAATGGTAGATATTGTTTAAAGTGAAGTCCTGATATTTGGCAAAGCAAATTTTAAAGTGAACATGTCCCTGCAGTGATTTTTCATGGTGTTAGACATACCTCTTACCAAGTCTGCTTTGTGAGTCTGATTCCTGGTGTGTGTCTCGTTCGTAAATTCGATTGGGCGTCTACTTGTTGAGGCTGCTCAATAGTAAATCTCTTAGCGGAGTAAAAGTAGACGGTCGCTCATAAAAATTAGACGTTCGCCCATGGAAATGTGCCCAGGCACAATAGTAAATCAGGGTCAGAATGTCAAGTCGCAGAAACTTCCTGGAAACGCTGGGCCTGTAGAGACAGAGGAGCCTGGAAGCTACTCTGACTTGGAGGAGAAGATTTATGTGGAGACTGGGAACTTCGGGGGCGTGTAGAAACTGTAGCCTCCTCGTTCTGGGAGTGTGGTAACTCCAATTTCAGTTCCTGAAAGTGACTGCGAAGATCCGCAGGTGAAGAAGCTTGGAACTGACGACCATGGAAGGAGAAAGAGAGCTTGAAAGGAAAGCCCCATCTGTATTTGATATCAGCTGATTGTAGAATCTGGAGATAGGGTCTCAGGGTACAACATTTCGCAATCGTGACTGGGGACAAATCCGCAAACAGCTGGGGGGCTGGGCGTTAGCTTGCTAGTGTGGCTATGCGGAGGGGATTGCTGCTGGGTTTGGTGCATGGGGTACAATGTATTTTTAAGAGAAGCCCAGGTATTTCACAAACACCTTCAACCAGTTGAAATTATACGCCAGGGTGTAGAAGCCCAATTACCGAGATATATGTTCCGGTGGCACGGCACAGGGAGATCACATGGTCATCTTTCCCGATTACGTGTGCGTGTCCCCCGACGGGGTTGCTTTCACATAAGATCCATTGCTGCGGAACACATCATGCGTCCCGCCACAGCCAATAAATTGTAGAAAAGATTATTGCACTTGGAAGGGAGGGGTAGATATAAACTGCAGATGTAACAGTAGCGGTACCTTCCTTAGGGTGATGAAGTCCCAGGCAGAGTGGGCATACACCCCAAGATCTTAGCAACCAGTGGGGCGCGAGGGTGCACGGCAATCAGGCCAGGTGGTCAGCATCAATGAAGGTCTGCAAGGGGGGGACACAGGAGCCCCTGATCCACCCCCCAAGGAAAGTGGGCTGATGAGTGAAGCCTCCACACCTATCAGGGGCCGCTCATCCACTTCAGTGGGCCTCCGGGCCCTATTGGAATATGTGCAGGCCTGGTGTGATCCCTGGGACTGACACAGAGGCCAGGGGGACCCACACAGGCCGTCCCAGCAGCAGGCCTTATAGCAGGGTGCCTGGGGGGCAGAGCGGTAGCGTCCCGGTCGCGGTAGCGGGAAAGACCGCGGCTTCACATACCGCGGTAGGTCGCAAATCGTGCGGAGCTCAGGATGGTCGGAGGGAGAACAAAACCACCCAGAACCCCTCCTCAGATATCAGGCAGGGGCCGCAGGACCTCCAGTGTCCGCTCCGGTCGCCATCTTGGACACTCCCCCCCCCGGGACTTTTTTTTTTGTTTAGCAAAGACATGTAGCAGAATACATTTTGGCCTAAATTTATAAAGAAATTAGATTTTTTTTTCATTGGATATGTTTATAGCAAGTCAAACATACTGTTTTTTTTCCAAAATGTTTGGTCTTTTTTTGTTTATAGTGCAAAAAATAAAAAAACACAGAGGTGATCAAATACCAATGAAAGAAAGCTCTATTTGTGGTAAATAATGACAGAAATTTCATTTATGTACAGCATTGCATGACCATGCAATTGTCAGTTCAAATAATGCAACAACGTATCTCAAAAAATGGCCTGGTCAGGAAGGGGGGTAAATCCTCTGGATGGCAAGTGATTTACAGTAAGTAGCCTCTGGTGGCCATAGATAAGACCTAACTGTAGCTGGCTTAGGTAGACGCACACACATAGGTTTACTATATGCTTAGAGAGCAAACAAACACGGTCCTTTAAGATGATGGAAAGGAGCCATTTAACCACAAGCCTACAGGGCACTTATACCCCCTTCCTGCCCAGGCCAATTTCCAGCTTTCAGCACTGTTGCACTTTGAATGACAATTGCGTGGTCATGCAACACTGTACCCATATGAAGTTTTTTCATTTTTTTGTGACAGCTTTATTTTGGTGGTATTTAATCAACTCTTGGTTTTTTTTTTTTTCTTAAACAAACCAAAAACCACTGAAATTTTAAAAAAAAAATGTTTATTCTTAGTTTTTGTTATAAAATTTTGTAAATAAGTGATTTTTCTCCTTCACTGATGTGTGCTAATGAGGCTGCAGTGATGGACACTGATAGGTGGCACTGATGGGCACTGATGAGGAGGCACTGGTAGGTGGCACTGATGGGCATTGACAGGCATCACTGATGGACATTAACAGGCAGCACTGATATATGGCACTGATAGGCGGCACTGATAGGTGGCACTGATTGGCATTGATAGGTGGCACTGACTGGCACTGATGGGTGACACTGAAAGGCAGCTCAGATGGGCACTGATATGTGGCATTGATGTGCACTGGTAGGCACTGATATGTGGCACTGATGGGCACTGGCAGGTGGCATGGATGAGCACTGACAGCTGGCATTGATGGACACTGACAGGTGGCACTGCTGGGGCTATACTGATCATCAGTGCTCTGATGATCAGTGTACATGTCCCCTCTGTGGAATGCCAATTACCGGCTCTCCTCTCAGCGTGACAGCTCGAGAGGACAGAAATGCCGATAACTGGCATTTCCCTGTTTACATATGATCAGCTGTGATTGCACACAGCTGATCACATGACCGAGCTGACATCTTCGGCTCTTTCCGTGGATCAGTGATCCGTTGTGTCCGAAGGATACGGCGCACCACCGATTGCCGCGCTACGCGCTCTGGGACGTCATGTGACGTCCTCCCAGAACGAGAGAACCACCTTGCGTATATATATTACTATATGGTGGGGGGAGGTGGTTAAAAGTTAGTCCACAAGATTCAAAAAACACATTGATGCCTCCAAACATCAGTATACTTAATCAAATAGAGTGTAAGAAATGTCAAGATTTTGAACACAAAACTGCCAAATTAGGCAAACTGTTCAAACTCCCAGATAAAGTTTAAGAACTTGTCATGCGGCTTGATCTGAACTTTAAATGTAAACAGTTCCTCTGTGAGCAGGATATACAGTGTATGTGTGTGTGTGTATATATATATATATATATATATATATACATACACATTCATATACACACACTATATTGCCAAAAGTATTGGGACGCCTGCCTTTACACGCACCTGACCTTTAATGGCATCCCAGTCTTAGTCCGTAGGGCTCAATATTGAGTTGGCCCACCCTTTGCAGCTATAACAGTTTCAACTCTTCTCGGAAGGCTGTCCACACTGTTTAGGAGTGTCTATGGGAATGCTTGACCATTCTTCCAGAAGTGCATTTGTGAGGTCAGGCACTGATGTTGAACGAGAAGGCCTGGCTCGCAGTCTACGCTCTAATTTATCCCAAAGGTTATCAGGTTGAGGTCAGTACTCTGTGCAGGCCAGTCAAGTTCCTCCACTCTAGACTCACTCATCCGTGTCTTTATGGACCTTGCTTTGTGCACTGGTGCGCAGTCATGTTAGAACAGGAAGGGGCCATCCCCAAACTGTTCCTACAAAGTTGGGAGCATGAAATTGTCCAAAATATTTTGGTATGCTGACGCCGTAAGAGTTCCCTTCTCTGGAACTAAGGGGCCAAGCCCAAACCCTGAGAGACAACCCCGCACCATAATACCCCCTTCCACCAAACTTTACATTGGTAAAATGCAGTCGGGCAAGTACCATTCTCCTGGCAACCTCCAAACCCAGACATGACCATCGGATTGCCAGATAGAGAAGCGTTATTCATCACTTCAGAGAAACACATCTCCATTGCTTTAGAGCCCAGTGGCGGCGTGCTTTGCACCACTGCTTCCAATGCTTAGCATTGCACTTGGTGATGTAAGGCTTGGATGCAGCTGTTCAGCCATGGAAACCCATTCCAGGAAGCTCTTTTTGGAAGTTTTTAGCTATTGACTCCATAGACAGTTGGCAGCTTCTGCACACTGTGCGCTTCAGCATGCGCTGACCCGATCTCTCATTTTATGTGGCCTACCACTTTGTGGCCGAGTTGCTGTTGTTCTAGTTGTTTCCACTTTGTTATAATACCACAAACAGTTGACCATGTAATATATAGTAGGAATGAAATTTCACTGATGGACTTATTGCACAGGTAGCAACCTATCACGGTACCACGCTTGAATTCACTGAGCTCCTTAGAGGGACCCAAAGGTTTATGGAAGCAGTCTGCATGCCGAGGTGCTTGACTTTATAAACCTGTGGCCATGAAGGTATTGGAACACCTAAATCCAATGATTTGGAGGGGTGTTTTAATACTCTCGGCAATATAGTGTGTGTGTGTGTATAAATATATATATATATATTTTTCCTTACCCATTCTCTTACTGAAGGGTACCAGTAAAAAAAATGTCTCAGGCTCACCTCAAAAACTTATAGATGGTTCTTTTATTATATTATTGCAATATTTGAATGCATTGTAGTTTTTCCCAAGATTTCCCTTTTCAGACAGACCACCTCAATAAGAAAAGAAGGTAAATTACAAGGCAGAGACAGTATCTCTCTGCCTTGTACAAGGCAGAGACAAATTGGCCTGGTAAATAAGGGGGTATAAGTGCCTGGTAGGCAAGTGGTTAAGTACTCCCAGACAGACTCAATGATATTGAGATCAGAGGTTTGTGGGGTCTAACTTCTTTACAATGAAGGTAGTAGTTATAGACATTGGCGGTATGTTTGGGGTTGTTGTCCTGCTACAGAATAAATTTGGGGCAAATTACACACCTCACTGTTGGTATGGCATGATGGATAAGTATCTGCCTTTATTTCTCAGCAATGAGGATATCATTGATCTTGACCAAATCTTCAACTCCATTTGCAGAAATGCATCCTCAAACTTACAAGCATGCTTTACTGTAGCCTGCAGACACTCAATTCTCCCTTTGGTGAACAAACTGCCTCCAACTACAGCCAAATATTTAAAATTTTGAGTCATCAGTTCAGAGCACCTGCTGCCATTTTTCTGCATTCCAGTTCTATGTTTTTAACCAATTGCCCTCTGGAAGATTTACCCCCCTTTCTGACCAGGCCATTTTTTGCAATATGGCACTGCATTACTTCAACTGAGAATTGCACAGATATGCAATGCTGTACATAAATTAAATTTATGTAATTTCTTTCCCACAAATAAAGCTTTTTTTTGGTGGTATTTGATCACCTCTGCGCTTTTTATTTTTTGCTCTATAAACAAAAAAAAAACCTGACATTTTGCAAAAAAAAAAACCTATTTTTTACTTTTTGCTATAAAAAAAAACTTCTTCATAAATTTAGGCCAAAGTGTATTCACTACATGTCTTTGCTAAAAAAATTGTTTTATGTGAAAATTATAGCATCTACAAATGGCGGTATATTTACTGGAATATTTATTTATTTTTATACTAGTAATCAGGACTGCGGTGGGCATTCTGACACTGGGTGGTAACTAATGGCCACTGACATTTCCAGTGACATTAATATAGTGATCAATGCTAATAAAAAGCACTGACGCTGTACTAATGACACTAGGCAGGAAGGGGTTAACATCTGGGGCAAAGGGTTACCTGTGTGTTAGGGAGTGATTAGACTGTGTACTGTGTTGTGTTTTACTGAGGAGACCTGCTGCAGAGAGATAAAAAGTAGCAAGTCCATGCTGACAGGAGAGAGACCTGTGTTGTTTACACACAGATCTCTCCCCTCTGAGCTTCGCCGATGATCACCGAGTTCTGGCCGGGAATCGCCAGCCGGGACTCGGTGATTGACATACCCAGGAGTCAATAGCAATGTGTGTAGGGTGGCACGCACGCACCCCCTACCTGGAACTGCTAAATCTTGCATATTTACATGATTTTGCAGTGCGGCCACCCTGTATCAGTACATCCGCAAGTGGTTAATGCATAATTGAGTCAGTTAGCCTTGTTTCCATGTCAGCGATATGGAAGACCACTTCTGCACAATCATCTCCAGAAGGTAGATGGGTGTACCTGGGTCCCACTAGTTTTCACCAGTGCTGTGCTGATGTTATGCCATATCTTCTGATGTCGAGAGGAAGTAAGCACGATATGTCTTTCATCTGGTGCATTGTTTCCTTGGTCGACCACTGCGTCTACAGTCATCAACGTTGCCGTTTTTTTGTGCTTTTTCAAGAGAGCTTGAACAGCACAGCTTAAAACCCCAGTCTGCTTTGAAATACTTGTCTGGGAGAGACGTTGCTGATGCAGTATAACTACCTTGTGTCTTGTTGCTGTGCTCAGTCTTGCCATGGTGCATGACCTGTGACATGAAATTGTCTTCTACAACCTCACTTTAGTAGCAGAGTTTGGCTTTTCCTCACCCTGTTTTAATCCTCCTACACAGCTGTTTCAGTTAAATTCTGTTTCAATTCAACCTACATATGAAATTGATAATCATTAGCACCAGCTTGGTATAATTGATTAATCATACACCTGACTTTAATCCTACAAAATCCTTGACAGTTCAGGTGTAAGAATTGATGCTGCTTTGAAGCCAAAGGGTATTCACACCAAATATTGATTTGATTTAGATTTTTTCTTCTGTTCGCTCACTTTGCATTTTGTAAATTGCTAACAATAAAGAATTCAAATATATATATTTTTAAAGCATTCTTACTTCACAGCATTTAATCATACCTGTCTAAAACTTTTGCACAGTACAGTATATGAATAACTCTTATAACTATATAATTGTTCAAACTTTAAGTGTTTATTTTCTTTTTCCATTAAACATTATAGCCTGTAAAGAAAAGAGGATGGCCAAAGGGAAAAAAACAAAAACGAAAAAAAGTCCTGCCCAATGGACCAAAAGCTCCAGTGACTGGATATGTTCGCTTTTTAAACGAGCGCAGAGAACAGATACGGTCTCAACACCCTAAACTGCCATTTCCTGAAATCACAAAGATGCTTGGAGCCGAGTGGAGTACTTTGCCAAGCCAGCAAAAACAGGTCTTTTTGCAGATCATAGCTGTCTTCGTTGTGTGTTATAAAGCATCTTTTTCTTCTGACCCTTCATATTTAGATCGATAGAATGTTACTATTCATGTAATTTCTAGGCATTGACACACTGGCTTTAATGGGTTAGTGTGAGATAATATATGTTATATATGAATAACGTCCACTCACTTAAATGATAATTTGGTTTTCTAAAGAACCCTACTCTGTGGCTTACTGCAAGTGTTTCCTGCAGTTTTTTACTGCCACAAAAGACACATAAAGTAGAACTTTACCCTCTAAATCAACATGAACTATTTTTAATCCTTATGCTTCTAGCATTTGTAAATGGATATGAAAGTATATCATATTTAAATTTTTATAAACCTTTTTTTTTTTTTTACGTTTCTTCAGTTACTTCCTGGTTTCCATGCCTAGGAAAATGATGTCATACATCCCAGGAGTCTTCAGAAGTGGAGGGAGGGTACTCAGCTGAGCCAGTGATTGAGCGAAGGGTAGATGGATTCCAGGAAGTAAATGCTACATTAATCATCTGCCCTTTCTCAAGATGGCCACTGCCAGAAATGATCTCTCAACAAAATAAAGCATGGAGACATGGATGGATGGGGGAGTTTGCTCTGAATATTAACAATTATTATAGCATTTTTGGTTTGCGGTGCTCAGATGCACTGAATTTCCACTTTAACTTGGCTATACAAGAAACAAAAAACCATCCAATAAAACAGAGATGGACATCTCAGCTCAGCATAAATGAGTACACCCCTTTTGAAAAGTAAGATTTTAATTAATATCTCTATAAACACAACAATTTCCAAAGTTTGACAAAACTGAATGTTATAGAACATTTGTTTAGCTTATTACAGGAAAGTAAGGTTAATAATATAACATAGATTACAAAATCGTTAATTTTACTTAAATTAATTGATGTAACAATTAATACACCATCAAAAATTACTACATCTAGTATTTTGTATGACCTCCATGATTTGTAAGGACAGCACCAAGTCTTCTAGGCATAAAAAGTTGGCATCATTATTCATGGAACTTCTCCATTACCGGAACCGCGGGTGCCAATACCTGAGTATTTCATGGGAGACCGCAGGAAGTTCCGAACCTTTCGTAACTCCTGTGAGCTATATTTTTCTCTGCTACCAAGAACCTTTGCATCACAAAGCACCAAAGTGGGATTCATTATTTCACTCCTTCAGAATGAACCCCAATCCTGGACACACTACCTTCGTGAGCAGCATGATCCAGCTCTGACTTCTACGGACTCTTTTTTTCTCAGCGATGTCGCAACTTTACGCTGATCCTTTCCGTCGTCAGACTGCAGAATCTATGCTTAGCAAGCTACAGCAAGGCCAAAGGCCTATAGAGGAATATGTCACTGAGTTCCGTATATGGAGTTCTGACACTCAATGGAACGAGTCTGCTCTCCGCCATCCGTTTCGCCTTGGTCTCTCTAACATCTTGAAAGATGAGCTTGCCCGAGTTGGGGCACCAACCAGGCTAGAGGACCTGATAAACCTAGCCATTCAAATCAACCGACGGCTCCGGGAAAGGAGTGAAAGAACTAGCAGGTGTGTCAGGAATGGACTCAGCACTGGTGGTGGGACTCATCTGCTGTGTGGGCTGCAGTACCAGAGCTGACCAGCGGGTGCTCTCAGCAGCCAGAAGCTCACACGTGCAATCAGCCAAACCTGGGGCTGATTGCAGAAAGGTGTATTTAAGGCATGACCAGGCCTATGAGCTGGGCCTTGGTGTATGTTTTCCCATGAGCCTCTGTACCTGGTATCTTGTGTTCCTGCTTCGTTGCTGACCCTGCTGATCCTGATCTCTGCTGACCGTCTCCTGTTGAACCCCTGGCTTGCCTGACCATCCTTCTGCCTGATCCCCTGTACCGCGCTGCCCGTGAGTTACTGAACCCGGCTTGTGACCTTGACCATTCTCTGCCTGCTCCTTTGGTACCTTGCTGCCCGCACGTTGCTGACTTGGCCCGTCTGACCACGCTAACTACTCTGCCATCCATCCATCCTGCACGGATCCAGCCGTACCTGCACATACCTCTGGCGGATCCCTCTACCACTAGCAGGTGTACTCAGGGGCCGCGACCTGGTTCCTGTCTGCTCCAAGTCCATCCCCACCATCAGGGGCCCTGGTGAATAGGCAGACTGGGACTTAGACTCTGCGCCCTGGGGAATCCTGTCCTGGGGACCACTAGAGGTACCACCAAACGGTCATTACAGAACCCTACGGCCGGCCTGACCGTTCCACCTCTCCAGCCCTGACTACGCCTGTATTCCTACACCTCCTGAGATTAGTGGAAGGTTGGTTTGCTCACTGTGCGTTTATATATATATATATATATATATATATCTGGGTGGCTAATAATAAACTGTGTTATTATACTATACCTGAAACCTGCGTTTCCCTGTGTCAGTCCACACCTTTCTGGTCACTCACAAGGGGTGTCTTGATCTGCTCTGAAATAGAGACTACTGTCCCCTCACCCACTGCTGTCGCATCAGACATACTCTCCAGCAAAAGGTGGCATCATAATTCTCATCGTAGGAACTTTTGGAGACCATCTTTATCCTCTACTAAACGTCTTCGACAACAAATCTCGAACCTCTGCCT